AAGTCGACCCCACTGGGAGGTCACACCACCGAACGCGTTCGCGACCGCGTTCGCAAACAGCAAGCGCCAAGCCTAAGCACGTGATAGCATGTGCTTGAAGCGCCACTGCTCCATGACTCATGAGGCTCCATGCTTACGCGTCTCCCGCCTCCCGTCGCCATTGTACCAGAGCCCGCCCCCGACCGACATTCAAGTGTGGCACGTGCTCGTACCTCAGCGTATTATTGTACTGGTGGTGCCACCGCTTTGGCATGTTACTTTGGCATGCGCACCTCCCACTCTCCTACGCTCTCTGCCATCATGCTCTGGCCAATGTCCAAGCATCGTCGCCCCCGCCACTTCTTGCGGTGCCGACGACGCTTGGACATCATGACCCTTGCAAGGATAAAAGGTGATTTTCGAGGAGGGACACTCACCCTTCCACATAACCGAGCCATTCCATACACCTTCGATGAGTCAGTACACCGAATACAACCTCACGGACCCGGTCGTCCATCCACTGGATAAATGCCAGAAATGTCATTCGGGCATGGGACCTATCCGTGTTTTCGTTGGCACGGGAGAAAGATTTGCGGACCGAGGCAGGATTTGCCAATCGGTGAGAAGCCTTCTATTCTCCGGTTTGAATGATGCTAATCTCATTTCAGTGCTCGGACGTTAAGAACTGTCATTATACAGCCTTTTTGACTGAGCAAGCCTACAACTTTGAAGATGCTGAACTCCTAGCCAGCCGACTGACTCTGCAGAGGACATACCCGGGGTATAGTGCACAAGAACTGCGCAGGGACCAGATTCTTCGTCCTGCAATTCCTCCCCCAGCTCTTCCCCCAATTTCTCCTGGACAGATTGACTGCGCGAATTTGGATTGCTCCTCGAAGACCGGAAACCGCACCCGAGGACATCGACAGTGCATTGAGCGCTTCTGTAAAGGTTGCTGCGAGACCGCGCGTGCCAAAGCAGAATCGACAGGCGGCCGTCGTGCGCACTGTATTGCGCACAAGGTGCCATCATGCGACATCTCCCGAGAGATGGTGTCTCTTTCCCAGGAGAATTCCGCCGTCCGCCCGCATGCTTTACAAAACAGCTCTGCTGCACACATCTCAGGGCCGGCTCGTTCTTTGGCAAATACTGCTAGTAGACCGTTTGAACATATACCAGCTACATCATCTACCTGCCCATCGGTGGCTACACGTGGCCCTCTCGCAAGCCTGAGTGCTGCAAATTCTGTTCGCGTTCCAGCAGAAGTACCTGCAGGACGGTCGGCCACTGCTGTGCTACAGCACCCAGGGAGTGTTCATGACGCTTTCGCGCCTTCTCAGCGAGCGCCGGGCCGCCGCTTAGCACGGCCAATGTCTTCCCTTTGGGAGAACAAGTACTCGCAGGCCAAGACTCAGCGTCAGGAGGTGAAAACTAACAAAGCACGTAACGAAGAGATGTCCAGCGCTCTGAAGAAGACGGTTACATTTGTGATCTGGTTTGAGGTACGCCGTCTTGTGCACAACAACTATCCAATCTGCTCACATACTGTTCTAGAATGGGGTAGATCCAGTGCGGCTCCAGCACCATGTGGACACGTACCCGCAACTCATGCTCGAGTCCCTTGGTTCCGTGTTTATTGAGCCATTCCAGCTTTCTCCGACATCATTACTTGACAAGTATGACACCCTGAAGAAGTTATGGTCAACTATCACGATTCGCACTGTCATTGTAGTCGACACTCAGCAGCCAACCCTGCTTCGGCTGCGACCAGACATTTGGACACCATTAAAAGACTGTCCCCAGCTTATAGAAGAGATTGAAGACCAGGTACGGAAGCTGAGTGGGACGAAGCGTAGTGCACACACGCTTGTGTCACCGCCGAAGAAAACTATCCGAACCGCCGACTCGAGTTCTGCCAGGGATCTTACTCATCCCTGTCCCGACGTCATCTCGCTTTCCTCATCTGATTCTGAAACACCACATGACCAGTCCTCCCCACTGCCCCGTACCAAAGCAAAGAGCAGCCGGAAGACAGCGAAGCTACCAACTCATCATGCTCAACCTCCGCCATTTCCTTTAGACCGGAAGGGCGACGCTCTTGAGGCAGAACACCGCTCTTGGCCAAACGATTTCTATGTTGTCGAAATTCGAGATGGACTTAAGAAGATGGAGAAGATGAAGGCGCAACAAGCCATCGACTATATCCACTCCTTTGCTGAGGTCTTTGGTGTTCCTATGAAGAAAACATCGTACAACAAATACAAGAGTCTATGGAACGGAAACGACATCCCGACAAAGTTACGAGAGCGCTTTGTCAAATACGGAGAACAGAAAGCTGGTCTCTGGAAGAATCTACTAAAGGCACTGAAGACTTATAAAAGTGAAGACGAAGGCGAAGTATCGGATTTGTTTACGGACCATAGTTCCACCGCCCATCAGGACAAGGGCAAGCAGCGCGAGGTATCCCCTGTTTCTGCTCCAGACGATATACTGGCTACTGGAGATGCAGCGGATATATCTGCTCCTGTCATGGGAGACTCTTCAGACTCAGGTACGTTCTCGCTGTAGGTATGGATTATGTCATTATTTACATCTCTCGCTAGATGATGATGTCGTTACACCGCGCTGTCCATACTGCGATGAGAAGATACCGTTTGCACCCACCCAGAGGATGATCCAAATGGACAACGCATTGCGGAAGATAACGTACCTCAATCCCTCTCCAAAGAATCCCCATCACCGCACTGCGGAGTCTTTCCGTGTGTACTTTTCATACTGTGAGCTACATCGCTGGGCCCGAGAGGAGTTACCAAAGGCGCAAGCGGATGGTTGGCCAATCGAGCCCGACTTTGCGAGTCTGTGGAATCGGATTTGGGACCTGCAGGCCGACCTTTTGCAAATTGCGGCTAATCCAAAAAAGAATGAATTTTTCATAAAGACGCGGGAGCTTTATACTCCTGGGTTGAGTAGCCGAAAGGTGGAATCTCTGGGTGCGCAGTATAAACGCTTTGAGGGCAAGAGTGCGGGATAGTAAGTCTTTAATTACTTGGTAACCTGAAGTTACTGAATTCGTCCAGTTACGGCGGTACAGGTTGGGTCATTCTTGAGCTCATCCTCAAGCATCTCATTCCCGATGGTCAGATAGACCTCACCCGGGCCAAGCCATTATCCTATAATGCGCTAGTATCGGAAGTTCTTCTCCCAGAAACCACGGTTCGCCTGATACAAGAGGATCTGTCCCTTCAGCGTGCTGATGCTATTGATGTCTTTCATGACAGTTCACGTTTCGGCAGTGTTGCACATCCAGGGACAGGCGAAGATCCACACATTGACAACATTCAAATGATGCTATCGAGTATCATGGCTCTAGTCTCGTCCGACCTCGAAGAGTACCAGAATTCTCAGTCCGCATTGGGATTTGAAGACTGGATTGGACTTCGCGCTGATGTACGCTTCGGACGCTCATCCACTGACAACGGCACGCAGGCCAGCACTGCCGAATCAAGTGGCCTTGCCCCAGTGGATGACTCCAAGCACAGCGGCAGTCCGAGTCAGACCGCTGTGCAGTCTCCGGATGCAGACTCCAGACATCATGGTGGCCGAGTCAGTGGTCCTGCCCCAGCGCCAAACGTGAAGATAGAAGATGATGAGATTGACTTGATGTCCGGAAGCTTGGACCTACCTGCAGTAGCAGGGGCCATAGATGGATTCCACATCGTTCAAGGTGGGGATCGTGTAACGTACGAAATCGATGATTAGATGAGGTTTGTCTCTTGTTGTGATCTCTCTTTCTAAGTGTACATTAGCATATGACTCCATCATAGAAGGCAGATAAATAGACCCGATCTTGTATTTTACTCCAAATACATATCATGCATAAATCCGTACAGCAGTCTCGCAGGTGCAGCGCCGGTTAGTCTACATGCTCTGATAGCAATGTTTCGAGGGGTATACTATGAGGGCAGTGCCCTTTACGGTCCAATTCCGCAATAACAATCTCATTCCGCCGCTTAATAACCTCATCCAAGAAGAGTTTATACCTATCAACGTCCATCTCCCGTACAATTGCCTGATATCCTCCAAACCATGCATTTGTCTGCTCCGCGGCTGATGAATTGAAACGCCACTTCCCGTCCTCGGTGTGGAGCTCGGGCCAGCTGGCGGGGTTACAGTATGTGTTGCAGATGATGTCAGTCTCTTTGTGCTTCGATTTGAAGTGGAAGACATCAACGGGCATAGCACATTCTTCAAAATAACTCTGTAAATCAGGGGGATCACCTTCAAGCATAGCACGAATCCGGCAGTTGTTATCGTGCCATAGAACCTCTGGCAAGGATCGCTTTGTCGGGAACAATGTCATTAAAAATTCCTACAGTTGTAGTGAGCTAAAGGCCGTTCCGATTCCTCAATTGCCACTTACCCGAACTCCATTAGGTGCTTCTGAGCCGAAGAACGTAGCACGGCCAATTACGACACCACAGGAGCAGACACACAGCTCCTCGTTATGGGTACGCCGGCGTCCGAACTGGGCTACTATCTTCCGGTTTCCGGTAGATGGCTTCCCATCGCATAGAATGTCGGTATTGCTGACCTCAGTCTCAGTGTCTTCGCCAACACCGGTGCCCTCGATGGGCTCGATCATTGTATGCTCTAGAGAATCGGCGGTTGTTGGTAATGAGTCATGAACCTGCGACGTCCTGAGGCGCTCGAGACGACGCTTCAGTTGAAACATTGCCTTCCCTTCCTGTGATTTATGTGTCTCGAGTGCCCGATGATCATCTTCATCGCATGTATCAAACCCTGGTTGTGCGGGGCGACCGCAAGCAACAACAGCACATTCGGTTTCCTTGCACGTATGCGTCTTGCAGTAGCGAGCGCCCTTAGTCGACGGGAGGGGCTCTTTGCAATCGTGTACGCCGCAGCAAGGATGGCCAATCGCAACACCATCAGTAACGACAGATCTAACAGCAGCTACGACTGAGGGTTAGATGGCGACAGGACATGAATCATGCAGAAGAACTCACTCATATTTCCATCTTCATCTTGACTAACCCAGCAGCAGAGATTACAAGCATGATTCCACTCCGGCTGACCTGGACCAGCCATCTGCTTATTCCGAGCCTGTATCGCCGGTCGCAGTCGCTCAAACTGGCTAGAAGAGTTGTGCGGCAAGATCAAGAGCTCTCCGTGCTCATGATGGTCCAGGAGAAGGGAATACAGGAAGAACGCTTCCCACACCCTTTCAGCATCGAGAGCGAACTTGATCGGCCAATCTGATGGTAGCAAAGGAGTAATTGACGGGTTTCCTAAAGCCAAGTTATACAGCTTCGCACAATTAGTTGCAGAAGTCCTAAATACAACATTATTATATGTTTATATCATTCAAGACTTCAGTTGTACTCACCAGGATACCACTTTGAGTGTGATAAACAATTCGCAAAGTTCTCTGGAGATAAAGACATGTTGAGCACTTTGAATGATATCGGGGACATCTGCATAGTACGTCCGAGTTGTTGCTTGGTCATGGACGTAGAAATTCGGATAGTATCGTGTGTTGCATTCTGTAGCCATAAACATCAGATACAGACGCGAAGAAGTCCCTGGAAATACGTACGGCGACAGTACAGAGAGGTACAATATACAGGCAGGGGTCCCAAGTCCCTGGTGAGAAAAACAGCCTTGTATGACAGCGGTTCGACGAGCTCTCGAGAGCGGAAGACGCCAGGCGTGGACTGTAACTCCCGACTGCAGGCCGAGTCCATGCAGATGCGGCTAGGTGGTCTAAAGTTGTAAAAACCTGAGTGGCAGGCTATTAGCCGTGAGTAGAGGGATATCTCAAGCTGCACGTACCGATACCGTGCTGTAGTCCATGTTTCAGGAAAAGTTGGATGAGACTCTTGGCACGAGCCTCGAGTTCCATGGAATTGTTGCTTTCGTGGTCCTCCCAAGCAAGGGTTCGATACTTCACCCAAAGCGACTTTGCCGTCTCGTGCTCAAGGGAAAAGCAGTCCATCAGGAATTTGTGATAAGAAAGCGGTAGATACTCAGGCGGGCCAGAGATGAAGGAGGGCTGAATGGCCGCGATATCATCCTTCTTCCAACGGACGATATCCACGAATCGCACGATGTCAGAGAGCGAAAGTGTAGCAGACAGCTCCGGGCTGTCTGCGAGGATCTGCGAAAGCTGTGATAGACGCATTGATGTAGATTTCTGGATGTATGTCGTGCAAACTCGCCCTCTTTATTTTCAATTTGGCAAGGGCCAATGCAACTAATTGTGATTGTAGATAGTACATGGATACTCAACTCACAGCCTGGCAAGCCGGTAGACCACGCGAACACAGATAGCATGGGCCACAAGAGCGAAATAGACAATAAAAAAAACCGTTGCATGGGCCCGAATCCAGAAGGCCCTTGCGTAGATGATGCACGCCACAGTGCTGATTGCAAGCTAATTATGAGCACGCTTGAACCTGGCGGCGCTGTCGTCCATAGCGAGCGGGAGGGGTTAGGTTTCTGTCCCGCGGGGAAACCTAACCATGGCAGATTGATGGCAGAGCTTACCAGCCACAGATCTGCTACGTCATCCGAATGGTAGAGCTCACCATGCGCAGATCTGCTACGTCATCCCATGTGAATTCTGCACGTGCAGCCATAAGTTCGCCGAACGCGTTCGCGAACGCGTTCGGCGGGCGAACCTCCCAGTCGACCG